CGTGCCTGTAATCCCAGCTACTCAGGAGGCTGAGGCAGGAGAATTGCCTGAACCCAGGAGGCGGAGGTTGCAGTGAGCCGAGATCACGCCATTGCACTCCAGCCTGGGTAACAAGAGTGAAACTCCATCTCAAAAAAAAAAAAGAGTCTACTTCCTGGCTGGGAGTGGCCGCTCAAGTCTGTAATCCCAGCACTTTGGGAGGCCGAGACAGGTGGATCCCCTGAGGTCAGGAGTTTGAGACCAGCTTGGGCAACATGGTGAAACCCCATTTCCACTAAACATACAAAAATTAAGCAGGTATGGTGGCAGGCACCTGTAATCCCAGCTACTCGGGAGGCTGAGGCAGAAGAATTGCTTGAACTTGGGAGGCGGAGGTTGCAGCGAGCCAAGATTGTGCCACCGCACTCCAGCCTGAACAACAAAGCAAGACTCTTGTCTCAAAAAAAAAAAAAGTCTACTTCCCAACCTTCCCAAAATTTATCTAAACTCCCTGATGGCTGGACAAGGTGGCTCACACCTGTAATCCCAGCACTTTGGGAGGCCGAGGAGGGTGGATCAGGAGATCGAGACCATCCTGGCAAACATGGTGAAACCCTGTCTCTACTAAAAATACAAAAAAATGAGCCGGGTGTGGTGGCGCAGGCCTGTAGTCCCAGCTACTTGGGATGCTGAGGCAGGAGAATTGCTTGAACTCGGGAGGCAGAGGTTGCAGTGAGCCAAGATCGTGCCACTGCACTCCAGCGTGGGTGACAGAGACACCATCTCAAAAAATAAATAATAAAAACATAAATATATAAATAAACAAACCCGTGACAAAACTTTAATTTGTGGTGCTGACCCCAGATGTGGCTGTTCTGGACATTTACTTCCTGAAGCCTGTGTTCTCTCAGCCCCTCTGCCTGGTTTCTTTCAGGAGGAACAAAACCCACACACAGAATTCACCGAGAAGAACATGCTGATGACAGTCATTTATTTGCTGTTTGCTGGGACAATGACAGTCAGCGCCACGGTCGGCTATACCCTGCTGCTCCTGATGAAATACCCTCATGTCCAAAGTAAGAGCGTTTTTCACCTGCCAGGCCTTGGGAAAGGAAGTAAGGGCTCTGGGCTGGGTGCGGTGGCTCACGCCTGTAATCCCAGCACTTTTGGAGGCCGAGGCGGTCTGATCACTTGAGAACAGGAGTTCAAGACCAGCCTGGCCAACATAGTGAAACCCCATTTCTACTGAAAATACGAAAGTTAGCCAAGTAGCTGTAATCCCAGCTACTCAGGAGGCTGAGACATGAGAATTGCTTGAGCCTAGGAGGTAGAGGTTGCAGTGAGCGGACATCACACCACTGCACTCCAGACTGGGTGACAGAAAGAGACACTGTCTCAAAAAACAACAGCGTGTGGCCAGGCGCGGTGGCTCACGCCTGTAATCCCAGCACTTTGGGAGGCCAAGGTGGGGGAATCACAAGGTCAGGAGTTTGAAACCAGCCTGGCCAATATAGTGGAACGCTGTCTCTACTAAAAATACAAAAAAAATTAGCCAGGGGTGGTGGCATGCTCCTGTAATCCCAGCTACTCAGGAGGCTGAGGCAGGAGAGTCATTTGAACCTGGGAGGCGGGCATTTCAGTGAGCAGAGATCTCGCCACTGCACTCCAGCCTGGGCAACAGAACGAGACTCCTCTCAAAAAAGAAAAAAACAAGGCCGGG